CAATAAAGACCTCGTTAATAAGTATATCATTAGAGTGTAGATGCGACTCGGAAACTCAACGTAATCCCGTTTTTATCATTTGCGATATAAATACACTAAGAATACAATGTCTAGTAACTACCGTTATTATAAAAACTGGCGTTAAACGGCTGAACTGTGTACCTCATTTTGTACCCGCATCTTCGTACGGAGTTACCATCCACTTCTGTTAAAATTGTCCCACACCGTACCACCACGCTGCGAGTCCGGAGGAGTTGAATCCCGCCCCGTTCCAGCGGGCCCTTCATAAAGAAAATTTACAACTTCAATTTACGTACTTTAGACACGTACGCCACTCTCGTTTAATCCGGCTCGTTTAATACCCGTCAGTCAATCCACGAACCTGACATTCAGCACTCGCAGCGGCAAGTTCAGGTCGCTGGTCTGGCATCTAAACCTCACACCTGAAGTCGAACCTCTCCAGCCGGTCAAGGGAGACGGACTGGCACCACGCGAGCTTTCTCCGTGCGCCTGTCAGGGGGTGGGCGGGGGAAGGGGAGTGAGCGGTAACGAGGCCCGTACATCGTTATCGACGGGTGACGAGGATCATCGTCTGAGCGACCATATCGCTACCCGAATTACGTCCTCTTGTGTACCGTAACAGTGACACACACCGACACACGAGACCGTACACACTGTAATTTGTCCCAAAAGTAGAGCGTTAAGCAGAAGTGTGGCGTATATCTTTTGTCTTGATATTTGTCTAAAGAAAAAGAAAAGTGTAAATAGAACTTTCGCTTCACCTCCGTTTTCACTGACGGGTTTTCGTTATTTTGACCGATCCGATTGATCGGATTTGAGTCATTGTCTTACACCCGTTGTGCAAGAAGAGGTGTCGCCAGGGTTTTTTGTTAAGTTACATACTTTCGTCGCCGGCCAGCCGATACATGTCGCGCATTAAGTGGGCCTGTCTGTCAACGAATCCCCGGGCCACTTTTAACCCCCCAGTCCGCCCCTGGTTGGACTCTGTCTCACAGGCAGGTTGCAGTGTAACATCAGAGGAGACTGGGCCAATTGTACATTCTCAAACTGCACCACTTAGAACTAACTAAACAATGCAGAGATAATTTTTATATAATTGTATTCAATAACAGTAAGAAATTAAACAGTATGAAGTGATTTGTAAATAGGAATACAGATTTGACTTAATGTTTTCATAAATATATTTTTCTCCCAGCTTGTCATGGGACTTATTTTTACCCTCTCAAAGAACCGGAATCGAGAACCGAAAATAACTGGAATCGAAAAGCAGAACCGGAATCGTTAAAATCCAAACGATACCCAACCCTATGTGTGATGCAGTAAAATCTTACCGCTCACTTATGTTACCGGTGTCGTAAAAACCGTGGGAAAATGTAAAATACGATGGCAAAGAAGAAGATTCCAGTGGCCCCAATTTGTGTCCATTCTGGACAAGTGAAAAATGTATTCGGACAAGTAAATTGCCAAACTCACTTGTCCATGGACAAGTACTCTCTAAAAACTTTTTCTCACACTGGTAGTGTAGGGACTGCAGTATTGCCTCTGCGTTTTTCAAAATATGTAAAAGTGACTGTTTGCAATTTTGCTGATCTTTAAAAAGGCTCTATGAACAATTAGATGTGTCCAACATTTTAAATGGAAAAATGCAAGGAGAAAGAGGATGCAACTGATGATGTTGAACTGAGTAATATAACATGTTATTTAAAAACTGACTGTACCCAGTATATGCTAAATGGCTAAAGGAACACAAAGTGCTGTCACAGTTTCCTCTTTCCGTAGCCAAACACACCTGAAACACAAACATGTGTCTCCCAGCAGGCACTGGGCCGACCAAGACGGAGTCGAGGACTTGGTCATACTCTTCACTCTCTGCGGAGCCAACATAGATGATCTTCCATTCAAGGTCTGTCAAAACAAACAAATAAAACAAAATGAAGTTAGGTTCACTTTACCACTCAAAGTTACAGAAGAGTGTGAGAAATGATGTCACTAATCAAATAGATGATGAACAGGAAAGTTGCTGGCCATTATTAACTAACTGATCATATGCATCACTCATTTAGTAGAAATACTACTATATTTAAACAGTCAATATATAAATGATTTTCTGATTCTCACATTGTTAGGACACATATTTTGTGCTTTTGCTTTCATTGTTTATACCAGGAGCTTGAGTTCAGAGATGTGTCTATGTACAGTCACTTTTAAAAGAGACAAATAAAGTGTTAAAGTCAGTATTATCTCTGCAAACCTGTTTTTGATGTTATAAACTATAGCCACTTGAAAAATGACTAATAATCGTAATTATAAGAGAAAAAAACAAATGTAAATATAAAGTATAAAGGTGTACTGAATGGAACACTTAAAAACGTTGTTTACCTGTAGCTACTACTAACACCCAATTATTTGACTATGCTGTAAAGTAGAATAAAATATCTATTAGACAACTCTAAAATGCTTAACTACCCTTAATTAAAATCCCCAAAAGCTTATTAGTGACATTGACTTTAGTTATACTGTAACCTTTGCATAACACTTTTACAAGTAAATGAGGAGTAACAAAGGCTTTGACTAACATCACTGGAATGAGATGAATTCACTGTAAGGCGAGGCAATTTGAATTGTAGTAGTAATAAACAATAAACTCAGGTTTGTTCAAATAATTGACCTATGCTAGACAAACTGGAGATGTGTCAACCACAGGTTACGCATCAAGTCATGCTGTGTTATATTACTTCGCTACAACCTTATAACATTTGGTTACTTTTCAAAAATGTGACTCTCTGACTTAAGTTGGCTAATGTGGCTAACCTAGCTTTAGCCGTTAGCAATCTCTAGTACACAGATCAATACAGAACCAACGCAACGTTAGCAACATGCTCAAGCTTCAAATTGCCTCAAATAACAACTTTTGTGAAACGACACCTACCTTCAGGAAGGTCCTCCATACACTCAAAAGTTATTTCAAACTGAAAGGGGTTTCCAAAGGGACTAGGGTTATCTAGGACCGCCACATTTAACACCTGTACCTTCGCCATTATTGCTGGAGCGCTAAAACGGGCTAATAAAAACAAACGTCCAAAGCAGATTCCAGGCGAATGGTTTAAAAAGATGCAGTACAACAATGCACGCGGTCAACGGTATTATCTGCCAAACACCGACGGGTTTTAACAAACTAAAACCTTCTTGAAACGACGCAATGCACACTATTTGCTTATTATTGTGTATAAATGTGGACTGTTATTATATTTGAGGACAGATATTCTGTTCTCCCGCCGCTTTACTGTACTACCCAGGCTCTACCGCGCCTACGGCAAGCGGTAGGCGAAACAGGAGCCGACCCATAAAAGGAAAAGCAAAGTGCCTCAATCGGCCCCTAGTGGCACAGTGGCATTATTTCTTAACAGATAATAAACAGAACATTCATTATCTCCTGACTAGCCAAGTTAATTTAATCAAGTTGGAAGCTTTATTGAAACTTCAACTTTGAATTGATCATCTTTAAGGTCATATATGTTGCAGATGTTTTGCTACTGTTTTGGTTTCCAAATGTTAAACATTAAGCCCACTGCTGTACCTTGGACTGAGAGGTGCAGGGAAATAAAAATGTGGTTTCTCACCTCACACATATCTATCAATGCAATCAAGTAAAAACAATGCCACAATACATCTTTGGAAACTTTAATTGAAACAGTTCTCTTCTGAACACAAATTGATGTGTCACAGCTTCACAAAGCTAGCATTTGTTTCAATATGGGCTTACATCATGCATGATCGGGCATGTCAATGTACTAGTGATGGTTCCACACACCACATGCCTGCAGTAATTGTATGCGGGACAACAGACTGATGCAGGCTTTCTCTAGTAAAAGGCTGGTTCCAAAAATAAACAAGCCTTTGTAAAAAGAAATGAAAAAAACAGTTTGTTCATATCTTTCCTACATTCAAAACAATTGCTGATGGGAGTTTAATGCCTTATTTTCAATTAATTAGTCTTTCCATAATTTAAATGTAATGCACATTCATGAAATTAGACGGCCACAAGCTATTGTGTGAAAGTAAATAAAAACTCAAAAATAATAATGCATGCCTTATTCAGCAAGCTAAATGTTCAGCTCCATATCACCACCACCCATCAACAACACATTACTTAAGCATTAATATACTGTGGTTAGACAATAACTCTCACTATTAAGGTTATGTTATAAAGTAACTTTGTCTGCCTGACACAGCCCATTGTGATTACCAAATAGTATAGGTAGTTTAAATAAAACCCCAGTATAAGACATTTAATAATAATGGTTTGGCATCTTCTTGCACTAAAAACTGCAGTGAGTCATTTTCAATAGCAGTTCTCTGCTTTTCTAGAACGCTTCGCTGCTCTCACTGTTCAAATTCAAAACTATGACCACTGCAGATTAGGCTTGAAGCAGCCTACATTTCCCCTGCCCCTCTGAATATGAGAAGGGGGAGGTTAGGTGAGGATTAGAGTCCACTGGACCAGCTGGCCGCAGAATTCATCCTTAAAATATTTCAGGAATGTTGATATCCTTCCTCATGTTGGGTAACCTGATCAAACCTGAGGGAGGCGCTGTTTCATTCCACCACCCTCAGCCAGGTTGCTAGGTAAGCTGTGCAGGGGAGTACAGTAAAACACTATCTACTCAAGCAGGGTGGAGCAAGTGAGAGCGACCTGGCATCGTACTATTCAAAAAAAGCTTCAGTTTAAATCCAGAATCAGGAGGTAAATTGGCATTATTTGACACACCTGTGATCAAAGTGATCTTTTTGATAGTAGGCCAATGTGTGTTTCAAGGAATTTTGTTTTCATGGCAACAGGAGTGATCGGGTCTGCTGTGCTTCAGTAAACTACGCTTTTCTTTGACTCTGTACAAAGGAGTATCTGTTGTTCACTCTGCTGCAGGTGGATAACTGCGCTCAGGTAATGTAATACGAAACTTAACCATGTGACCAATGGCGATCTGAAGAGTAGACAAAAAAACTGCTTTACATAAAACACCACCGGTAGAGCAGACAGTCGAGGATGTAGTCCAGTCTTTGGTCTTTTCAAGCTTTTTTTGGAAGCACGGTGTTTTTCTCGATATTTCACCTGTTGGAATAAACAATTTGTTGCAGTTTATGACAAGGTGGGGCGGAAGCGAGGAATACACCTGCTCGATGTTTCCCGTTTTGATTCGATTACCTGAATGGATCAATGGTATGTGTCTAGAGCTTTTGCTAAATTAATTTGACAACATATTTTCTTTGTTATTAGTTGCACATACCATACTAATGCTGCCAATGAGAAGGGGTTAAACATTTAGACTGTATTAAGTTAAAATGCTATTTATAGCTTACTCTTTCCCTGTGGTCTGGGCAGGTTTAATGGTGATTCAACATCAGACTGAAGGTGACTCAGTAGTTGTATGGTGTTTATGAGTCAACAGTTAGATTGAAGGATACAAGTGTCAAAGTGAACTAAGAAATAGAATAAAAGGAACAAATATCGTTACTCCACTGACAATTATGTGCCTTCAGCTGTTCCAGATGCGATAAATCCACACAGTGAATGTTGGAACTAATGATGGACCCAAGCTGATGTCCCAGAGTCCCATGTCTGCCCTCACTTTGCCCTGCTGGTCACGGGTAGAGATGGCGGCGTGTCCGGATGTGCTGGCCAGGCCTGGAGTTGTGGTCAGGAGTGTTATACTGTTGCTCCTGAGCAGTAATCCTGTCAGGGGTGAGTCAGTGACCATCCCTTCACCCTCAAAACTCCCACACAAACGAGCATCTTACCACACCTTAACACATGCACTCACACTCACCATTATAGCCTGCCATGATAAATAAAAACAAACGATAGCCTACATTCCAGAACAAAGTTAAAACATGCACAGTTTTGTCAGAGTATTATAAGTAATGCATTAAAAAAAACACTGCCATATTTGAATGAGCTTAACATATGTGGTTTTATCTTATCAATAATTACGCATGCAAAATAATTAAATTTCACAATGTGTTCGGCTCCCCGCTGTAACCCCTGTTGCTTGTAATCAAGTTAGCCTAGTTGTGACCTTGCAAAGTTTACTATTTGCCCTAGTGAATGATTGACTCGAAAAACTTCAAAGGAGGCTTTACGTTTCCAAACCAAATGTTCTTGAATGAAAATGATGTTAAATAGTTTTTCCCTAAACAAACAAACAAACAAACAAACAAACAAACGAAAGAGCCATTTGTGTGTATTTTACTCGTATTGCAAACTAGTATTTGGCTTGACTGAGCTGACTGCAAAACCACAGTACACTCGGCATTCCTGAGCTCCTCCTCCTCATTCACTCTACTTAGTAACTTTGTAGTTTCGAGATGTCACTGACTAATCACATGGCTGGTCATGGAGAAAATGGCTGGGAACAGCAATAGGCTGTCTGGATATCATATGCTGCACTGTGGGCATGAAACTACTTCTACTGTGCTGTTGGTTCCATTTTTTTCGAACCCTGCATTAAAAATAAATGAAATTCATGTGACTAGATAACAGTTCAAAAGTAGGTCAATATCTGCCTCCTGTTAGTAAGTTTGAACATGAGTTTTAAAAAAAAAAGAAGGTTAGTCACACCTCACTTAAATCCATTTTGCACTTTATATCAACTACTTTTAAAGGATCCCTCTATACACCACCCTTTCTTCATGAATTGATAGTTTTTTCAGTGAATGCGTTTACACACTAAACTGTTTAAGCATGTTTTACATCTTGTATTAGATCTAAAAAATAAAAACAACAATTTGCAGTTTTACAGGCAGCTAATTCCTATCCTGGAGCCGGTTGCCTGAAAATTGTCTCGGCCAAAAAGTACATATCCCGAAAAAATTGAATTAATTATTTTAAGTCCACTAGACTAGATTACTAGGTGAAACCAGGTTACGGCTGAAGTTTAAAACATCTCCATACATATGCAGTAACCTTACTCAATAACAACAGTTAACATGCTTGTGCATTTAAACAACTGTTGAAATGCATCGTAGATTATTGTGGGGGGGGGGATTGTTTTAGTTAATAGGTTACCAGTTATCCAGCAGTGAGAAAGCCCATCTTCAGTTGTATGTACAATACACAGGGAAGCATGTAGAACTTTTTGAAAGGTTTTGAAAAGAAAGGCTTAACATTTGACTGCAGTGTTTCTGACATTTCTTTTCTTTTCACAGGGAATTATACTATACTTGCAAGCGAGACCCGTTCTAATGCCACCGATGTAAGTTAATAGAAATTATCTTGACCACTAAATGACTTTAACAAGAGTAACCAGTGTCACCAGATTTTCAAATGTTCTGTATTTTTCTATTAGAATGGACCCAACATTGCAGCCATCGTGGCCCCTACAGTCACACTGGGTGTTCTGGCCATAGTCTTGGCCATTCTTGGCTGGCTCCTCTGCGTGGTGAAAAAGAGGAGGCAGACTGAAGGGACGTATAGACCCAGTGCTGAGGAACAGTCTGGTGCACATGGTGTGGCAGCACCAGATGCTCTAAAGTTACCAAAGGAGGAAAGACTCATTTGAGATCTTAAGCTTTGTGTTTTTACAAAATCCTTCAAGGATGACATTTTTTTGTGGTGTCTACCTTCAGCTGATCAATCAAAGAAACACCTTCCCAGGATAATTACATTACATTGCATTTAGCTGACGCTTTATCCAAAGCGACTTACAATAAGTGCGTTCGACCAACAAGGTTTAAACTTGAAGAAAACAGAATCATATAAGTACATCAGGTTTCATAGAGCTAAAACATTTCAAGTGCTACTCAACTGGCTTTAGATAAGCCAGTCCTTTATTAGTATATAAGTGCTTTGTTAGTAATTCTATCGCTCGAAGTGGAGTCGAAAGAGATGAGTTTTCAGTCCGCGCCGGAAGATGTGCAAGCTATCTGCTGTCCTGATTTCAATGTGGAGCTCATTCCACCATTTTGGAGCCAGGATAGCATAAAGAGAGGACATTATTGCCAGGTTTGAGGCCTATTCACATGATGCATTTACTCACTGCTTTCATTTCAATGGGCATTGAATGGTTCCTGTGTGGGCCTATGAAGAAATGCACCTGGATGTACAGTATGGATCTCAAAGATTTAAAGAACAATTTAACATTTCAAGGAGGTTTTTGAACATTTATTTTGCACAAATTAAGACTTTCAATATTTTATATTTATTATCTCCACTAATCTTTTAGTTTAGAGATGTTTTTTCTTGTTAAGGTTGCAATTTACTATGTAGCTTTTTTTGATTTGATACAGGGAAAAGCAATATCTTTTTAGTCCTGATGAGTCCATTGCATTTTAAATCAAGACAAATCATTTTCAGACTAATAATAATAACAATGCAACATCTTATTACAGTTTAAAAACATATATTATATTTTATATAGACAGCTGTACAATAAAAAGTTATGCTGAGAAATGATATTAAGCTAAATCAAGAAATTGTTTACACTACGTATTATAAGTATTCCCTCTGTAGTTAAATTAAATTGGATCAACCATGCATTTCATAATGCGTCATGATTAATCAGATGTTTTAAAATGTAACATGTTTATTTATGCCTTTTGTCAAATAAACGTTTATAAAGAATTACATATACTGTTCTGTAGTTAAATAGAACAATAATTTGAAAATCATGGCATGTTGTGACTTACATTTACTTTCCTTGTCGGGGGGTTGCAGAACATACACTGAAGTGCTGTAAATTCTCGATTTATGCCAGATTAAGTGAACCAATAAAATACTCAGAGGCAGTAAAAGGCTTTTATTAACATTTTACTTACCCTCCAAACTCAAGGATTCACAGTTAAAATCACTTGGTTTTTAATTCTGCAAGGCAATGACAGGACAAATGTAAGGATGACAGTAATTCAGTGCAAAAACAACATACAAAAACATTTAAAGCATTACATGTACTAGTATTGGTACACATCAATGTATAATACTAGAGCGATGGATTAGATGATGTTTTCAAAGTGTGAATGTAAATTCCTGATGGGAAGGGTTGTAAGGAACAGTTGAGGAAAAATTATGTTTAGAGGTCTGAATGGCGGATTTTTTAGGCGACTTCCTCATCTCCGTCTTCCTCAAACTCGCCCTCCTCAGCGGTGGCGTCCTGGTACTGCTGGTACTCGGACACCAGGTCGTTCATGTTGCTTTCTGCCTCTGTGAACTCCATCTCATCCATGCCCTCCCCGGTGTACCAGTGGAGGAAGGCCTTACGACGGAACATGGCAGTGAACTGCTCAGAGATGCGCTTGAAGAGCTCCTGAATGGCGGTGCTGTTGCCGATAAACGTGGCAGCCATTTTGAGGCCACGGGGCGGGATGTCACAGACGGCGGTCTTCACATTGTTGGGGATCCATTCAACGAAATAGCTGCTGTTCTTGTTCTGCACGTTCAACATCTGCTCGTCCACTTCCTTCATGGACATGCGTCCCCGGAACACGGCAGCCACGGTGAGGTAGCGTCCGTGGCGTGGGTCACAGGCAGCCATCATGTTCTTGGCATCGAACATCTGCTGTGTGAGCTCGGGCACGGACAGGGCGCGGTACTGCTGGCTGCCCCTGCTGGTGAGGGGGGCGAAGCCTGGCATGAAGAAGTGCAGACGGGGGAAGGGCACCATGTTGACGGCTAGTTTACGGAGGTCGGCATTGAGCTGGCCGGGGAAACGCAGGCATGTGGTCACCCCGCTCATAGTGGCAGACACCAAATGGTTGAGATCTCCATAGGTGGGGGTGGTGAGTTTGAGTGTACGGAAACAGATATCATAAAGAGCTTCATTGTCAATGCAGTAGGTCTCATCTGTGTTCTCGACCAGCTGGTGGACGGAGAGAGTGGCGTTGTAGGGCTCCACCACGGTGTCGGACACCTTGGGAGAAGGCACCACGCTGAAGGTGTTCATGATGCGGTCGGGGTACTCCTCGCGGATCTTGCTGATGAGCAAAGTGCCCATGCCAGAGCCAGTACCGCCACCCAGGGAGTGAGTGAGCTGGAAGCCCTGGAGGCAATCACAGCTCTCCGCCTCTTTCCTCACGACATCCAGGACGGAGTCCACCAGCTCGGCTCCCTCAGTGTAGTGGCCCTTGGCCCAGTTGTTTCCAGCTCCACTCTGACCTGTAGTGAATACAGTTCATTATTGGAGGAAACACATGTAAGCTATTTCTTATGGAAGAAAAAATCTTCGTTTTAATACCAGCTCAGTGTATATTCACTTATTCTTCACACAGCTTACCAAAGACGAAGTTATCGGGTCTGAAGATCTGCCCGAAGGGACCCGACCTGACTGAGTCCATTGTGCCAGGCTCCAGATCCACCAGGACGGCTCGTGGAACATATTTTCCACCTGAAATCAGGTTGACAACGTCACTCCTCAATCTAACAAGCTTGTTAAGCATGCTGTGTTTAATGTAAAACTCAGACGTGTATGCAAATCATTTTGCATCTGGGGCTGGGTAGGTAAAGGAAGAAAATAGATTGTTGAATATGCTATTTGTGTTAAAGCTGAATATGTAACTTACCTGTGGCCTCATTGTAATAGACACTGATTCTGTCTAGCTGTAGATCGCTGTCTCCATGGTAGGCACCGGTGGGATCAATGCCATGCTCATCGCTGATCACCTCCCAGAACTAAGGAAAAAAGAGACGTAGGAGGAAAGGAGAGAGAGAATGATGTTAATATAGGCCAAGGGAAAAATAATAATGTACAAACTGAATATAGCTAAAAGCTGAGTTCACTGAAATAGCACATACTGTAGCTACTTTATACAAAGCTATTTTTAAACATGCAAAGCTAAAATATCTGTTTAATTATCAGATTAAATGCAGGTCAAAAGAGCAGTCCATTAGTCTGAGATGCAGACTGTCTCAGGAGTAATCAGCAGATGGCAATAATCTGATAAGTAACAGTGTCTTCAATTATCTACAACCACACACACTCCAAACTACTAAACATAAAATAATTTAATGTTAAAACAACAAAATAACAGCACGGATTGCTGTAAAATAGACATTTTGTGGCTGGGATTGGCACCAAAAGAATTATAGGTAAATAGGTCATAAGGGGGGGTTGGGGGGGGGAGGCTGCTATGACGAGTGCACACTTTACATCTATCGTAAATCCTTAATGTAATTTATTTCAGAATTACACAAAAAAAGTAGAAAAGTAAAATATAAAGTTTGCATTTAATTATAAACATTCACTTTTTTCTTTTCTTTGGCATAATTAAACGGTTGCACGAATCTTAAACCACCTTTAAACCCTGCAGAGAATATCAATGATCTAATCGTCTAACATTTACATTTTGTATTCATTGCACAACGAGTCAATCTAGGACACTGCATTTGATTTATTCTCGGAAATTCTCAGAGGATGGATTAGACGTCTCTGTCCTCTCGCTGCACCAGTCTCATCAGATTGACGAAACAAACACAGAAAGTAAATCAAAAGATACCTTGGCACCGATCTGGTTTCCGCACTGACCGGCTTGCAAGTGCACAATTTCGCGCATTTTGGACAAATACGAGGGTGGCCGAGTAGTAGATGGGAAATCTGAGCAGCAGAAATTCACAGGATGATGATGACTGCTGCTCTCGGTCGTCCGGGATTTGCTCGCAGCACCGCCTCTCTAAAGTCTACTGGGCTGAATCGGTGGCGCAACCTGACGTAATCGCCATGGTAACCAAAGAACGGAGAAGAGAGGGAGGGACCAAGAACCGTGGAAATGGCGGATAGGGCGCGAGGAGCTACATCAGCCATCGATAAGATTCTCATTATTCTCCAAAAATGACTTCACTCACACCCCCTCCCCACACACACACACACACACACACACACACACACACACACACACACACACACACACACACACACACACACACACACACACATGCACACAAAACAAACACACTGTGCGCCGTAAGGGGGTGGAAAGTTAGGACGATTCTAAGGGCCCGTGACTGACAGGGGCCCAAACTATTTTAGAACATTAAGAAACAAATGTTTAAGTAACTAATGTGATATCTTTTCATGGGGCCCAAAATCCCTGGCGGCGCCCCACACACAAGCACGGCCTATTGTAGCGAGGTCTTCAAGGTCTCCCATTTGCATTTTTAACAGTGTAGCCGATTGTAAGGCTCCATGATGTCATTACTTTGAAGCATGAAATCAATCAGCCTTGGCTCGAAAGGACAAAGATAGTAACATTTGTACTGGAGTTTGAGAACATCTTCTGAAGTATCAACTTTTGTATTATCCCACGTTCTTAGATGTTGTTTCTAAGTTAACTGACCAATTTGCTGCCCATAGGCAAGATTTTAGCTGGATTTTAGCTCCCCCCCTACGTTTTTTGGGAGTTTGATTTATTTTTAAATTAACACAAATATAATATTAAAACCTATAATTGCACATAAAAAACATTATTTCAAAAAAATAACTTTCACATAAACCTCTGGTTTGTACTGTAATTTACATTAATGACAGCAGAGGGAGCTGTCCTAATCAAGTGAAGAGAGGGCTGTAATCTACTTCCACATTAAAAATGTGTTTTCAATTTTGTGGTGCCTGTGTTTTTATAACTGGACACAAAAATGACTTAACTAAAATAATAGATTTTACAGAAACCACTGGTTTTTTACCATTCATTCCAACTGTCTACTAAAGGCCTCAATCTCACACCTCAACACCTTACCTTAGCCTGACTCTCCTTGCCTTTCTGACCTGGGGGCTGCTGGGCTGGGGCAGTTCAATTTACCTGATTTGGGGAGGGGGTGCACCATAGTTTATGGTCGCTGTACGCAATATAGGCGTAGTTCTTTTAAGATAAGATAATAAGATGTACTTTGTTGATCCAAAATCGGGAAATTGTTTTGTTATGAAATTTAAATAAAACATTTTCTAACATTTTAAAATGTTTAAATGTTTTCTTTCCCCCAATTTTCGGCGCCCTCCATGGTTGATGCGCCCCTAGCATTCACCTATACTGCCAATGCCAAGGGCCGGCCCTGGCCAACACTGAATATGAACACTGAATTGTAAACCTTTGGACTAAAAGACAAATGCTATACTGCACGTTGTTTTTTTTCATACAGAATCAAGGACAACTCTAGAATTAAACATAGACCCCCAATTGCAATCCCACTTTACAACTTACCTTAGAAAAAGTAGGCTTTCAGAAGACATGTTCACTGTTTTGATCAGTCTATTTTTAGCTATTTCAAATTCTGCCTGTTTTGGATTGCATTCTTTGCAGTCTTTCAGAAAATAAAAAAGGATTACAATCCTCTGATCCTAAACAGTGAGCACCTGCAGCAAATATTCTGTTATTATTTCAAGACCAATACCAATGATGTAACACACATGCTTAAGACGCATACAATGTACTATCAATGCCATAATTGAGTACCTATTACAGTATATTAACAAGAAGCAAGTGTTTTGTTTTTAGTTCATTAAAATCCTGTTTCTTTCGGGGCTGGTGTAGCCAGTCTGGGTCTTAAAGATAGAAACCACACTGTGTGTGAACGCATTTAGGAAACAATGCTCGTCATTAAGTTCACTGGTGTATAGGAAATGACTTTGTTTTGACCTTGCCATCCCATTTTCAAATGGTGAATTACCCAATGAATTATTTACTAGACTAAAAACATTTGTGCCACATTGCTGTTAATTTCCTGAATCATGACATTTCAAACATGCAACCCGTTTTAAGCTCACCCACAATGGCCAATAGGGTTTCATTTCCTGTTTCCCAGCTTGGCTACATACTGGGTTGTTTCTCAGTGCTGCATGATTTGAGTTACTCCCACAAAAGTCATGCACAGGAAAACCAAGAGCCTTTGCTACTTCATGTCAAGAACAATAGATAGGCTGTCAGTGTGCTCTGAGGCTAGAGAGACAAGTTTAACGAGGCACGCTAAATTATTATGCTACTGCCAGAGGAACCATTATAAGTACATGAGGACTCAAACCGGAGGATTTGTGCTGTTTTGAACTGTGGATTAACTGCATTGTACGTGACAAGCTACTGATCATGTCTCTCCCAGAGGAGGATCTCACATGTCCAATCTGCTGTGACATCTTTACAGACCCTGTGTTGCTGCCATGTAGCCACAGCTTCTGCAGGAGCTGTGTGAAGCGCTGTTGGGAAAGAGGCGTACGTGACTGTCCAGTATGCAGGAAAAGAGCCTCTAAGGCCAGCCCTCACACCAATTTGGCTCTAAGAAACGTCTGTGAAGCCCTTTTGCAGGCCAGGAAGAATTCAATGTTGGTGGAAGAAACTTTGAATTGTATTCTGCACGGGGAGAAGTTAAAACTTTTCTGTCTGGTTGACAAACAACCCATCTGTGTGGTGTGTCAGTCTTCCAAACTGCACAAGGGTCACGACTGCTCGCCTATAGAAGAGGCAGTGCTGGACTGCAAGGTAAGGGGGAAAAAATCAATGTGTTTCCAGACTTCATCGTAAAAGCAACCTTTTAAACGGACTCTGCTGTTTTTGTACACCTGATGTATTCAAGGTAACACCCAAGGGTAGAATGCTGCCCAGCAAGTCTGTCCTGATTGTGAAAAAACTCCAGGGCCAAGATATTCAAAGCACTCATAATTCTGATACATCGTTATATAAAATTAAATGATCTCTGCTGACTCTCACCTGCTTGTCTTTCAGGATGAACTTGCTTTATCACTCAAGAACTTACAAGATAAAATGGACAGCCTCCAAAGGATTCAGATGACCTCTGCAGACATGTTCAAGTTTATCAAGGTAAATGTGATGAGATGTCAGATGTGTGGTTTTGAATGAAAAATAATCTGGTCAAATAAACCAGAATTTTCCTAATCTTCCTCAGAATCAAGCACAAGAAACCCAGACATTGACCGAGAGCCAGTTCAAGCAACTGCATCAAATCCTCTACGAGGAAGAGTCAGCCAGAATAGCTGCTGTTAAAAAAGAAGAAGAAGAAAAGATTGCAGGATTGAAGGATAAGATTAAAGAACTGTCAGCAGAAGTGCTATCGCTCGCAGAGACCATCTCAATCATACAGGAGCAGCTGGAAGAAGAAGATATGATCTTGTTGAAGGTCTGTACAGTCAGGTATAAATCAACCTTTTAATATTGTTCCCCAAAACCTCCCACCTTGACTGTGATTCTTTCTGTTTTCCAGAATTTCAAGGCCACCCAGGACAGGTAGGTCAGCACAGTTATGGGTTTACACTCTTTGAGTTGACAATGCCATATTCTCAGTCCAAAATATGTGTTTCTATCACAGAGAAAGAAGCATCCCTCTTGGTTCAGACAACTTTTCGGGGTTACTAATTGATGTGACAAAGCATCTCTGCAACCTCAAATATAAAGTATGGGAGAAAATGCTGGACAAAATTGACCATAGTGAGTATATCATAGCTATAAGGCTTCAAGGCCTAGAGAGTAAAATTGTACAACCCAGACCGTGTTTCCTCATCAATCTTTCTGCTAATATCCTGTCTTTTAGCCCCTGTTATTTTGGACCCAAACACAGCACACCCCTGCCTCATCCTGTCAGATGACCTCACTTCCCTCCACTACTCAAAGCAGCACACCGGTTGCCCTGACAACCCAGAGCGCTTCCACATGAGCGCAGAAGTGGTTGGCATGGACGCACTGGGCTCAGGAAGCCACCACTGGATCGTGGAAACGGGAAGTAATCAGGACTGGCTCCTGGGCGTGGCCTCTTTGTCTGTACCTAGAAACTCTGAGGTCTGCGCTCGGCCTGAAAACGGCTTCTGGACTTTGTGTTTACGGGACGGAGAGTTCAGGGCAATGACCTCCCCCCCGACCCCTCTGACACTTACAAGAGTGCCAAAACAGGTCAAAATGCAACTGGATTACAACAAAGGGACAATGTCTTTCTTTGACCCTGCTGATGATACACTCATGTATGCATTCACACACACGTTCACAGAAACCTTGCTTCCATATTTCTATACACAAAACAGTCATCCATTGAGAATAATGCCAGAAAAAGTACTCATCACAATGTTGCGCCAATAAGCGGATGAAGGGCAGGGATATTTGTATTTAGGGATTTACTGGCTGAAATGTTAATGTTCTTTAGAAACATGTTCTGTTTTATTTGTTGTAATTATAATTAGGTTACATTCAAACAGCAACCAATATATCATAGCTTTAACAAAAAAAAGTAAATAATATTAGTGGCTGTCGTCACTCATTTATATAGGCCTGAAACTTGACAACTTTCACTCTAGATTTTGCAACTTTGGGAGTGGATGCTATAGCAACTGCCATTGGAAAAGTTGTCAAAATTGGCTTAGGTTATTCTCTGGTAGGTCAAGCAGCCAATATGGCTCTTCCAATCACAATTTAAATGCTGGATAAATGAAAGCTCGAACCTTTAAAACAAGCTGGTTTGGTCCTGCCTCTAAACGAGGTGCAGCACCACCAGCAATTTCTGGCAGAGAGTGTGAGCATGTGAGGTCCGAGGATCAGGGATGCTAGTACTGACGTGTGTACACATGTCTCAACGACTTACAAAGTTAGGCTTTCAAAAGAGAAAAGAAAGGAGAGAAAGACAAGAGAGAGGGACTAAAGGGCGACAGTGTGTCACCCAGTTTTTCAAAAGAAAAGGTGGGTGTGGTCCATGAGTGGTGGAAATGTGTCTGTTAGCTAAGTGTAGTCCATTGTAAATAATAATTGTTATGTTTTTTTTTTACTAAGCTGATATTAAGTACTGTTAATATCTATACAGGTTTTTAATTTCACTCCTCTTTTAGCTGACATTTAATAAATGCAGGTACATTTTTGGCAGCTATTCATACTAAATCAGTTGTCCCTCCCCCTGGTGCCAGGACCAACAGATCCATCTCTAGGCTCAGCAGCCCTGTCCCCCCATAATGCTGAACCTGAACCAGCTTTTCTCCCAACTGAAGGAGGTGAGCAGTATTGTGTTGAATGCCATGCCACTTAACATATCTGAAGGGAGACTGGAATACAAAATATATATATATATCAAAACAAAAAGCTAACATCTAATTTCAATTATACATTTCAAACACAGTATTTTTCCACATATTTAAGTTATATTTATTTGGATTTATGCATTCATGTTGAGAATGTTCCATTCAAAAATGTTATTATTAAAAAGGCATTTATACCATAAAAGATGACTATTGAGATCTATTGTCAGGAATGTTAGTCTTATATCAAATAGTGAATTCTACTGCAGCAGAATGTTGCACGTCTGCACAGTGTTATATTTTCACAGCTTAGTGTCAGTAAATATTGTGCGGTTAGTATTGGAATACAAGATAGATGCAAGCCTGTGCAGGTAGAGTTATTTAAAGCATAAATGAGTCGGTTGGGTTCTGGAGGTGTGGTTACAGCAATTGTGCTTGGTTGGCGTGGCCTGTGCCTGGTGGTGGGGCCCAATGTGATATATTTTCATGTGGCCGAAAATCCCTGGCGCGTATGGCCAGAGGGCAGGACCTATAAACACATTTACTACCCAATAGCATTGTGAGGCTGAACAAAAGGACCTTTTGACTATGTAAATGTGGTCTTTTAAAAAAACAAAACATTTACTGACTTTTTTAGGATAGCTTAAAGTAATGTTGTAAAATCACAACCGGGTGCCTTATAGGGTTAAGGGCTATCGTTTATTGTTATTTACTTTAAGGTGTTTATTCTTAACCAATCATTTAATTAAAAAACTCTCATTTAAATGATGTGTGTCTCTGTATTCCTGATGATACACTGAGAGAATGAGCTCATAGGGCTGCTGATCACCATAAGCTAAACAGTCTGTATATTGCATTACATTTGCATAATGTAAGCTTCGTTGATACTTTGCCTGCGGGAATACGAAAAAAATAGTTAGATATATTGAATATTACTTTATCTATTCCACCACTTAATCCCAAATAATGTAGAGGTGTGTTGTAGGTGCCTTAAATAACCCTTTCTTTTCTAGTGAGATGTATTTTTATGTTCATATAGTGATTTCAATGCCACCCCAAAATGCTCACTGGTTCCATCCTGGCCACCCCACTGAAAATGTCCTGGCTCCACCACTGACAAGCTGTTGAGTTAAGTTTGGTAACCATTCATGTATAGTTCCTAAACAAAATAAAAAAGAATAAATATGAAGTTTGAGTCCATCCATAAGTGGGTTATGGTTTGTAGCATGCAATTTCCTTTTGTTTAATCATTTTGAATGGCCTTATGTCTGATTGTATAATACTGCTGCACATGTTTTCTATGATTGTTCTATTGGTAATTCAAGGAAGGATTAGACTTTACAGTTGAGTTTATTGGTCACTTTTACACATGATGGCGCCAAAACCAAAGTAATAAAGGTTTTCATTGTGTAGACTGTATCACACACATAAATCTTGTGCTGTTTTTGAAAATCTATCTTAAACATGATTAGTTTATGAAAACATTATATTAAAATGTTGATTTGCCAATTGTTGACTCATTATTTACGAGGTTCATCTTTTTTTCAGGATTATATTTTTTCAATCTACATAAAATAATCTAATCAGTGAAACACATTTATCAAATAATCAAACCAAGGGTCAATATGTGTATTACTTCTTCTAAACAGGTGGGATTTGTGTAGCTGGGGTTTTGTTGTTCTTTGCATTAACACAGATACAGCAATTTTTCAGGCAGGTGTCTGAGAAGAAAGGCACCTTGTCCAGACGACATAGATAGATAAGCGGCTGGATGGTGCTGCTGATGTTAAGGAAAGCGAAGCCCACAGGCTGCACGTAGCAGCGGAACACATCAGGGGAGTAGACGTCTTCAAAAGGAAACAGTGCTACAGGTGGCAGGTAGTTAAACACAATGATACAAAGGATGGACAGCACTGTCTTGAAGGCCTTCTTCTTCATGGGGTGCATCTCATCTTTCCCTCCTGCCCTGCTGGATTTCTTCAGGGCCCACAGTATGCTCACATTACACAAGACCATCCAAGTAAATGCTGCCAGCATTTCACCAGTGAACACCTTTTCAAAGTTGGGGAGGCCTCCCACAGTCTTGGCAGCAGAGTAGGCAAAGGTAAGGCAGAATACCAGCAATGAGAGGCTTAACCTATAAATGATGGGTTTAAACTGCCCAAACCTTACTGGAAAGATCACAGCTACAAAGCGATCTAGGCAGATACAGGATAGAAACAATGGCCCACTAGTGTCTTTTACACCATAAGAAAACTTGACGGCTAACCAAACTTCTTTGCTCTGCCAGTAGTACAGGTTAAGGAAGGTGAGAGGGGGCGTGGCACTAAAATAGGCATCCATGAAAGCCAGGCAGCCCAAGAATATGTCTGAAGTTGTGGGTTCTTTGCGATTTCGGATGAGGATTGCAATGACAAGTAAGTTGGCTGGGATTCCCACAATAACGTTGATGCTCTGGAGGGTCAGATCAAACAGAATACCCTCTACCTGATGGTCGCATCCGTCAAACACACTGAAGGGTTCTGCTGTGGCATTGGTGCCAGCAGTGGTGTTAAGAGGGAGTAGAGTCTGGACAGTGGTTGAAGAAACATTTCTCTCCATGATTTTGTCACTGCAAAAGGACCCTGGTGGAAAAATAAAAATAAATAGTGGTTAGGGTTTACCATTTTCTAGACATCATTCACTCACTCACAATACAATTTCCCATTAACACCAGGTGTTTATCATGGAAACTTGTATTTCATCTTCTGTTCTTGCTCTGAAGCACATTAGAAGCCTTGTTTCTAGTTTGCTGAGAAGTTAATTCTCAATAGAGTTCAACTCGCCGCAGAGTAAATGAGACAGTTCCCAGAGAGCAACAAAAACATGTTAAAAACAGCGTCAGGGCTTCTCCTCAGGCTGTTATCTTGTTATTGTGTCTGTGTGGACCTTCCTCTGGGAAGCTTGACTCCCCGTATATAGGGACATCTAACTCACTTAAGGGACTCATACTAAAAGCCCCACCCTTTTACTGCAGAATAAAAGGGCAGCTATACTCAAATTAAAATGGCAGAGTTCATATGTTGCACGTAGACAATTGTTTAAGATTCTTAAGAGCAGTCATTTCCTGGAGCTCTTGAAAGCCTGTTTCTGACATTTAGCTATTCCTAAAGCTAATTTCTGACCAGAAAAGGATGGTAACACGAAAGATGAATGCAATAATGGCTGGATTCATGGAATAATAACAGGAGTCAGATATGAAGGATACCATTAAAAGGTGTACTGGGCCTTGAGCTCAGTGTCTCTGTCTTTGGCCCGTACAGGAAGATCACATATCTGGGGAGCTTTTTTACTCCCCTAAATGTCAGGTTTTGTTCTAGGCTCCGGGAACGTTACATGTTCCGGGACTTCGTGCAGCTGCTCTGAGTCAGGCTGATTTGCATTAGTCTTTTGCACATGCAGTACACCTGAGCTCCTTCCACTGAATGGACTATTGGAGCCAGAGGCTGTCATTGTTCTTTGTACAGCCATCAAGGGGCCTATTCTGGTTTAATGTGGGCCTTTCGTGCCCTCCTTCTCTCAGTGGACAGGGCTTCTCACCTTCCCGTGCTGCCGGCTCCACCTCAGGCCACACACACTCCTGTGGGGCTAATCACTCTGATGGAGGAGGGAAAAGTTCTTTGCCAAGATAATCGTCCCTGGAGATAGCAGACTTAATCAATTGTTTTTTTCTTCAGGCATATCTAATGAAAACGAAATAAACAAAACAGAATTATTTTAATGTTTTTTGGAGGATTTAATTAGATGCTGTATTATCAACTGTTTTACATGCACTCCTTAAGGAGTTTTTTATTTTGTAAAAGTAACTTGTTTTTTTACATTTGTTACAGTTTTAACTTTTAAATACAATTTAGTGACAGTGAAATATACATATATCACTTTTGCCTATTGTAAGTACAAACTAATGCCAGACAGCAACAATAGGAAAAAACTATGAGAATAAATTCAGTGTAATCTTTGCAGATTTCAGAAAATATTCAAATGATCGCATTTTCCTACTCAAGATTTAAAATGGCAAACATTTCAACAGTTAGAGTATCATTACAAAAATTAGGATGCTATTGAGTTTAGTATTCCATGCATATTGATCTATGATCGTCAGTAAGTCTCAAATATTTCCAGTCAGTATATTTTGAAGTAGCAGGAGCAATGAAAGGGGAAAACCCACTTAAACTTAATTGATCTACATTGTTTAATCCAAAATGACATGCACCATTTTTCTAGGTAGTAATTAACACATTAAAATATATATATATATATATATATATTATATTAATTCATCAATTAGAAAGTCTTGCCTCTTTTAATGCCATGTATTGATTAAAGCTCCTCCATTAGACTAAAACTTTGCGACCAAAATGACCCGTGGAGGTTTTTAAAAGTTCAAATTATTTTTTACTCACCAGTGTGGAATATTCTTCTGTTCTGTATGTAGGATGACGTGTGTGTGTTTCAAGGGTTCATTTATAAGTTATCCGAAGTGTCGTAACTTTGACGCTGACCAGGAGGGGAGGATCTCCTGGAGTTTTTGATTTCATTAGGGAATAATGACTCTCCCAGTTATAGCTGTTTATAAAGATGCCTTACATGAGGTGCCAAGTGTTGTCAGTGGCCATTTACAGTAAACCTACAGCGCTGAGGACCTGATCCTGAAGACCTGGTATTTTACTTTGAGTCACTTGTACTTGATTATTTCAATTTAATACATTTTACGTACTTATTGTATGTTTTAGTGCAATTTGAACTCTTCCAAGGTGAAAGACTTGAGAAAACAAATCAACAAAAAAACACAATATACCATATACCTTTATAATCATCAAACGACCTAAAGATGTATTTATTTGATTTTTAGAATGTTATTGACAAGGGCTTATAGATTTTTGCCACTCTCTTATTCCCTGGTGTCCTGGCTTCTCGAACTAGGCTTGATAAATTTATTCAGGGAGCATCATGGGACCGATCTGGTGCTGCTGAGTGTTTAAATCCTCAAAGCACGTCATCCTTTTTTCCCCGCACAAGAACAATTAAAAAAAAATCAAAGCTATCAAAGACTCCTGCTGAAGTGTCCACCATTTAACTAGAGGAAGGAAAAGGACACAGTAAGTGTATAAAGTGTGTGAGTATGTGTCAGGGTGCATTGGGTAGTTTCCTGGGTGGTGATTGCATTTGAGTCTCTGCTTTGGCGAATGGAACCCAATGTTCTGTTCCTTTATGGGAATACAATGACAAACCCACATTGATCTATTGTCAAATCAATGTCTGAACTACCAGATAGAAAGATAATCTCAGAGAACATGCTGTCATTTGGTTGCTTTACCGCTTTTTGGACTAAGGGGGCAGTAGAGCTCCTCGATTTTTCAATGCGAAGAGCAGGATTTAACCAACATAACTTTTGAAGACATGACATGATTTTAACATAATATTACATTTTCTGAGATCTGTCATGTTTACTTCCTCTCAATTTGCAATGCTCAACTGTGGGACGCAGTGTTATGTATTCTACGCTTTTTTCTAATTGAATCTTAAATCTAGTATAAACTTCAATTTCATATGTTTAGAATTTATTCAAAATACAATCTATTTATATCAAAATGTACTGGAACAGGATATATGCTTCAGTAGTTCATATAATTGTTGAGAAGTATTCTATTCACATATTACATAAACACATTGGAAAGTCATGCTGTTAGAAAACATCTTTCTCTCATTTCTGTCTTAGATGTATTAATGTTAGCAGGAGGCAGTACAATATTTGGTATCAGTCATGAGCAAGAATTAGAATATATTTCACTGCAGACTGTAAATATGCCAAAACCAAAATTAAAGCCTGTGTGTGTAGTTATTGACACAGTGCAGAAATCACCTGCACAAATTGGATCAGTACACATAGTGATATCTTTAGTTCAGACATGGGAAAGGACAGCATGACACTAACAACATCATGTATTGTGTGGTATTAAAATGTAACAATATTGATCGTGAAAATGCGGCTTCGCAACATTTGTGGGTCATTGTTCAAACTTTAGTCAATTTAAAAAAGGACTGTACTTTATGCATGCTAACACTACTTAAACTAAGGTGGCAAACATGTCTGCATTAGCAGGTTAGCATGTACAGTATATGCAGCTACATAGCACCTATCATACTTTTATTTTGATTGTATTGTTTTACATGTAATCACCATCATTTGACATGTTATTTTACATTTCTTTGGTAGAAAATCTGGGTATAATAGTTTTCATCAGAAAAATTGTAGCAGTAAAAGCAGCTTGAAAAAATGTAAGACAATATTGCTAATGTATGGGGCTTATCTATGGAGCATCTAGTGTTTATCACACCTCAGAAAGTTAAAACAAATCCAATAACTAAAAGGTGAAAGATAAATTATGTTTTATGGTTAGAATGGTTAAATATGTAACAATTTTAGACTCTCTACTTTTTGAGCCCCTTTTCTGCCATTCTCTATAATGGTTGCGAAACATTAAATTGGCTGTAACAGAAACCTACGTGCGTCATGGCAGCCCGGAGAAGGAGAGCTGGAATTAGAAACAGGACTGAAGGTTTTCTGTGAAAGCACACACCCTGGAGAACCTATAATTAATCAAAACCCTACTGTCACAGAACCCCAGAAGAGAGAGAGAATGCGAAAAAAAGAAGGCAACATACTTATTTTTATATAATTCATGTTAATTAAGGTCTAAAGTTGTAGTTATTATTTGTCATCATTGTATATTTGCACAAGTCTATAAATCAGTGCAGCTGTCATTTTACTTTCTATACTGCTATGAACATAATCATTAACAATGTGTCGAGCTCCAGAAAATGAAAAAGCATTTGTTTGGGGATAGCAGCCAAACCGACTCCTTTGAATGGAATTCACTTTCTACATACTGTGGAATTAATGGCCTGTAGCCAACATAGGAAGAATGGGCATCCACCCAGCTTTCGACCAATTATTACAATTATGCTACTCTCAATGTGTGGTTATCACCATAATTATGGCCCTTTAGTCTTGTCACAACCAATTAACAAACAAACAAACAAAGATACGAACAAACAAACAAACAATAGTTTAATGCATCTCCTCTTAATAGAAGTTAAGGGATGTGAATAAGCATTTTCAAGTCTATCCAATCCATTAAAAGCTCAAATACATAATATGCTAATTTGATTCAGTGTGTTATAATAACAGGATTATTCAAACGTATCCCAGTTATTTAATTTATGTCAGAAGAATAAAGGCATGCATACTTTTGTATAAAAAGTAGGCCACCATTTTCAGAACTAAGAAAAGCATTTAGACAGACATATACAAGATGTGTTATTGATGAAACATAAAAATATGTGGCCTCAAACAGCAGTCTGTTTTGGTATTTCTTAACATGTTAACATTGTTAACCGGTAAATTATGCAACATTTTTTATTCATTTTTAATCTGTATGTTGCTGTCATTTTGTCATATTCCCAAATTAACCAAACCAAGGTTTTGCTAGTAATTCTAATAATAATTGCTTAAATGTATACAGCGCCCTTCATAAACCCACCTTTTAACAGAGGGAACACAAAACACAATCTGTTGCTGGAT